GCCGTTGTCGAACATTGACCTAGTCAATGACATGTCCATTAGATAAGGGATCATACATTCCTACATTCTAGATATCATATGGAATAAGACATGGATTATAATCATTCTCTCTGTCCATCTGTTGTTTCCTGATTTTCGATTTATGACAACTAACTAATTGAACAAATCAAATTAGTCCATGCCCAGCCAAGCACTTACGTTTGTCATCACTAAATCATTGAGGGATCAACATATATCTCTTATATCCCCCTAAGGGTAAAAGGAATGGATAAACTTCGACCCAAGTGTTCGCTTGTACTTACTCATCAAATTCCACACAACGATATGTTTTATAACAACCAAGTTACTTGTTGCGTTGAATCCAATGTTCGACTGTGGACAGTTTGAATAACCTCGTTATTCGGGAAGTCAACACATGCAAAGTGAACATAAGAATAATACTAATCCTATATGGCACCAACCACTTTTGAGAGTAAATAAAACACCTTTTATTTAAACATCATATTGATTAATCATTATTCATTGTATAATGTTTCGTTATACTTCAATAAAAAACAATAGTTATGCCATTCTCCAAGCATGCACACTATGTTTGTCCAAATAATATCTATGTCATAAAGTTTTCACACTATGTTTGTCTATGATCCTTACTTTGTGGAATAGATCAATTGAACATAATTCCAATGATTCTCATTTCACAATCCCAAATCCTTATCGTAAATGTAAGAACTCCAAATTCCTATCATTTACCGAAATTTGTTAGATTCTAAACTTATATGCATTAATCCTCTTGTAATGACTATGCACAAAAGTCACAAAGACTTGGCAGCATACATTTACAAAGTATTCCAATGGAGAGAAATTCCATGGAAATGAAGTCTCAAATTCAAAGTACATTCCTTTGAACATCCTTCTTGCATTAACTTTTCTAATCTTACACATATCTAATGAATAACTCCCACCTATGAAACATTTCCATATTCCCATTCTGACTATCACTTCTGAATAAGATTTGTCTCCATTCAGAATATGTCAATATGGTCCCTTCCAAAAATTTACACCATACTTTCAACTGTTCATGATCAACCAATCTTTGGTAAACTTCAAATTATCCTCGACAATTGCTTAATCATTTTGGTCATATCCAATTCTAGACCTTTTCCCTTCTTAATGCCCTAGGCATTCGGAAAATTTAGAAAAGATAAATATTATAGAACATGTAATCGATCCTATATCCGAAGCATATGAGACATGATTCATGATGTCTCACATAAAGACATGATCCTAGACCAGTCTTTTGCTATAATATTTTTTTTTTATTTGCCATGTTTTCATAATTCGACTATGAAGAGGGATGTCGTAATCATGATCGAATTTTGAGAACGCAATATATATATATATATATATATATATATATATATATATATATATATATATATATATATATATAATTTCCTTATGTTGAACCATTCCAACATAAAATTCATATATATATCATTGACTAAAAGATGATTAAAATCTCAATCTAAACTCTTAGAATTGAAATGAAGTATAATTTCCTCTCCTTTAATTATAGCAAAACAATTTTTCCCAATTGAAACTTTTGTTTTCTATAATTAATACTTAAGATAATAATCATGCTCCCACTAACATGATACCTATTAACATAACACTTATGCTCCCACTAGTTTTGACATGTATCCTGAAATCAGCTGGACTTCTAGAAATCAATACTTTATTGACTATCTTACCAAAGTTAAGATTTCTGACACAAGATGCTTTGATAACACTTTATCAAAATCATACACCTTTCCTTAGATAGCTCATATGTATGTCTAAACAATTTTTAGAACTATGAAAAGGGATGTTGTAATCATAGTCTCAATTGTTTAGACCTTTGTCATTTCTCACAAGTCCATGTTAGTGTGTCGGTTAACCACACACGCTTCACTAACGACTATGAGAATGAAAACCTCACAATTGCTATCTGCTTAAAATCTACTTAGTGAAAGCGTTTCCTCACAATCATTTTCATGAATCAGAGAGAAACCTTATGATACTTAGATTTTACGGTGTATGTGTTCCTATCCATGTGAATTTGTCATAACCACAAGAGGAGGTTAGTGATAAATCCAAACTCATATGGATTGAACTTGTTCAATCTTAACTTCTTGCCACCTGGCAGCACAAGGGCCTACCATTGCTTCCAAGTAGTTATGCAAACAACTAAGAACTCATAGAACTCACATCCATAGTCAACTTTAACTGGAATGGGCACAGAAACAAGAATATGTCAACACGATAGGCTATAAATCTCAAGTCGTGTGCTAGTGATTAACAACATGTTTTATTCTTGATTAGTTCTTGAAACTCTTTCAGTATCTTTAAGACTCCCACTGACCTCTTGACATATAAGTTTCTCTTTGTCAAATACGAATACTTGACAACAAATATTCAAGAGTTAGTGCGGATTCTTATCAAGAAAAACACTTCACATAATTGGCCTAAGTTGGTCTTTGTTTTATCCAAAACATCACAACTTACCAATTTCAAATGTACAAGAGTAAGAAAACATTTTACTCTGCATTTGACAAGTGTTATAAACCTTCTTAAGATTATGTCACTCAAGTTACAATCTTTGAGTATTACTCTAAGACATGTTTTTGGAACTTAGTATGATTCATCTTTTTGATGTTAACCATTTCAACAATCCAAGATTCCTCTTCTTAGCCAAACAAATGCACTAAGATGTCCTTAGAGAATCACTTGTGATATGGTTTCGTAATCACTAATTGTAAAACAAGATACTCAAGTACTCTCCCATCTTTTCAGATTAGAGAAACTTTTATCTTTTTGCCTAATTTGATTATTCTCATTCGTTTTGCGAAACTTTTCCAATGTTTCAGAATTACACTTAAACTTGTAAGCATAACCATATGCACTAAACTTTAGTAAATCATGACGGATAGAATTATCGATCTTTGTGGTGGACCTGATCAGCGCACAACCAAGTGTACCCGACCTTCTAGTCCTTCACTTGACTCACATATACACATGAACAATGAATTAATCTTAATTTCTCAAAGATGAAAATTCTAATTCATCACACAATACAAGTTGCATGATCCCAAGTTTCTATCCAACTGAAACTTTGTTGATGAGAATCTTTCATTATTTGGTAAATTATGACACTACCACAAACGAAAGAATCAAATCCATTTTCAAATGTTGCTATCAATGTAATCATATAAACAACAATTCTCACAAATGCCATTGTAGGGAAATTTAAAATAAATAAAATAGAAACTTTTCTTTTATTTAAAACTTGCGGAAAAAAACTTATCATTACAATGCAAATGCATATGAAAACTATGTTGTTATCTATTCCCAAGTAGTCTATCATAACTCTTAAGCAACAACTCAAAATTGTGATCTTCGAATCATGTGATCGAAATCCATCTCTTTGCGATCAGAATTAGCTTACTCTTCCTTTAAGCCTTATTTCTCCGATTCTACAAAACATCAAAAATTCAAAATGTGACCTAGTCACATCATGTAATAAGAATCTCCAAATAGGAACTTAATAGAGTTAGATAGTGGACTCTACCTGAAGCATAGTCGAATTTGTTGACTTTTACGATTCTTATGGACTTTCAAGTCAGTTGGGCAACTTTGCAACCAATGCCCCTTATTTTGGTAATAGAAACATATGGACTCTTTGGTAATGGTACATTGGACTATCTCAAACTTAGCATTTCTCTTTACCATTTGGTCAACCGGGTTGACTATGGTCGATCCCTTTCCATTGGGTTTTCTGGACTTCCGATGTTTCCATTTTCAATGTCCATGAAAGTTTGGGAAGTAGATCCTCCAATCAAATTTGCTTTACCATTGCTCCAAATCATTGCTGATTCAGCAGCAACAAGCAAATAGGTAAGATCATTAAGGGTCATGTCATAGTCTATTACATAATAGTCCTTAAAGAAGTCACTGTGTGATTTAGGAAGTGACTGAAGAACCCAGTCAACAACCAACTTTCTTGAGACGTTGACACCCAACTCTCCCAGCCTGTCAGTAAGTGACTTCATCTCCAAGATGTGAGTACACATAGACTTGCCAATAGCGCTCGAGTGACCTTGAACTATTCAAGTATTCAAAATTGTAGGTTAGTGAGAATTATTGGAGAAGGTGGAGGAAGAGAAGTATGATTTCCGTGATCCAATCGCGGGACATCACCCTCATTAGGAAAGCTTGTTCCAAGAGATTTAGAAAGATCATAGTTGTATGAACCAAACATCTACCATGGGAGAAATTCAAGTTAATTGATTTAAGTCCTTAATAAAACACCCAATATGAGATATTAAGGCTAGGACCCAACACAATATTTTATAACATGAAAGAGGGATGCTGTAATCCAAGCTATAAAATATTTAAAGGTAGTCAAATGACGATTCACCAATTTACACCATGAAAACTTAATAGAGTTTTAATTTGATTGATGTAACGTCCAAAAATTCAAGGCCAAAAAATTTCGTTTTAATTAACTTATTACATATAACCATCAATATAAAACAATCATAATAATCTCATGTCAAAACCAGTATATCAATAATCAAGCATGTCATCATAAAATAATATCAGAGGGTAATCCCAAAGATCTCCTGTGCGGAAAACATAGTGTGGTGTGGTGCGATCGAGCCAACTCCTTTCCTTTGAAAATGAAGTACTTGAAACAAAAACTGAAAACCGTAAGCACGAAGCTTAGTGAGTTCCCCAGAGCATACCCCACACAATCCTCAAAACCACATAATCCACATTAGTTAGAACAGCTACATAAACCATATCAATCAGATAACCATATCAATCACATAATCATGCATATAAACATATACGGATGTCTTGGGCTCCCCCCAAGGTCTTAATCCAGAATGTCATGGGCTCCCCCATGATCTTACACCTAAGTGCCATGGGCTCCCCTCGTGGTCTTTAATAGGAAAGCCATGGGCTCTCCAGATGGTCTTATACCCGGTACCATGGGCTCCCCCATGGTCTTTAATAGGAAAGCCATGGACTCCCCCCATGGTCTTTCATGCAAATATCACATAAACAAATAACATAGCACATAGCATATAACCAACTAGCATACAACATATCATTACAACTAATGTACCACATATCATAAAATGGATCAGATTTGGTGCCTTAGACCTAATAGTATGGTGAGGAGACTCACTTGGCACTGCTGAAGTCTCGTAGACTCAATCCCACATTGCTGAAGTCCTGCAGACTCAACCCTAGCTGCTGGATGACAGATTCCCGATCTGTCAACATCACACAATACCCAATTAATAATTGGGCTCCACTACATAACCATAAATAACTACTTTGGATAATTACTACATTCCCCCAAAGCTCAGCTTATTCAAGCCTAAGACCCAATCCATAAGCCCAAAGTCAACTGAAAATCAAAACCCAACATATAGCCTAATTTGAAAAATTAGGCTTAAGCCTTTACATGGTCTTATTCTAATAAAGCCCTCAAAAAATAATAATAAAATTTAGGACTTACGAGGACCCCAAACGTTTAAACATACACCAATACACGGTTGAAAGATGTACTAAAAAATTCTACATAAATAATTATTCATTAAATTCTTTGAAGGTAGGTGATGAAGTTCAGATAACCAAGAAGACGTTTTGTCTCCTGTAAGTTACAGGTAATTCAATAGCTATATTCTCGTTGTTTAATCGCACAAGTGATGCTTCAAGGCTGTTTAATTAGAGTTTGATTCTTCTTGATGCTTATGTAATTTGTTTTGGTATTTATCTCGTAATTCACTAATTTGGGGGTTCCGATTGCTAAATCAACGTTTTCCTTTTAGTTTTTATAGATTGTTATCATTGAATATATCCAACGATTAAAGGTGCGTTGTTTTGTATTAGAGAAATTGTTGATTTGACAGTTGCTAAACTGCTTTTAGTTCTGACAAACAAGTCAACAGCCACCAAATGGTAGTCTGTTATGATATTGTTTAAGATTCTTTATAGAATGATTAATCACCGAAAATCAACTTGTTTATCGAATGAATAACAGAAAATTTAGTTCAAAGGTGTGCGGATTCCTATATTACAGTTGTATTTCTTAGTGAGGTAGGTGTTCATCAGAGTCCCTCGGTGGAACCACAAATAGTTGACTTTTGATATTAAAGACCAAAAGCTGAACTATGCTACGTGTTCTTGAAATTTGTAGAAAATTGAAATATAGGTGAAAATTTACAACCAGCAATAAAAGTACAAAGGTGTTTGCTCCCAATTTCTAACAAATCCATATCAAATTTATCCTGGAATTAGGATATGATATGGTATTCTTGTTTGCAGGAAATGCAAGCTGACAATTGGGGATGATATGAAGGAGCATAGTGTAATGCTTTATGCTATTCAAAGACTCCAATCATTTATAAAGTGTTTGTGTTAAAATGTACTTTAGGGCTTGGAATACTGCTATAGGTGACATGGGATATGCTCTTAGTAGATTGGAGATTGACCCTGACTTTTCAGACAATGAGTCATCTCCTGTTGGAGATGATAATGACACTCCTCAACCTTCATCAGAGAACAATCTGGAGCATGAAGTTGCTCAGCTTACAAAGCTGAGATCAGCACACCATAGAAGGTTGAAACAAGTTCTTCCACGGAGGCCTGAATTTCCAGTTTCTCCGGTGAAGATGTTAGCTGGTAGAGAAGGGAATTACTCTGGTAGAGGGAGGTTCACTGCAGCCGATCGCTGTCATCTTCTAAATAAATACTTTCCTGTTAAAGGTCCTTCTATAGTTGACCAGTTGACCACCCGGGCTTATGTCTCACAGTTTTCAGACGATGGTTCCCTTTTTGTTGCTGCATTTCAGGTATTCTTGTTTGTTTTCCTATCATTCAAGTTATCATATGATAATCAAATGACAAATCAAAATATGAATTTTCTTGTCTCACTAAAGTTTTTAAGGTATTTCATCCTTTGCTGGACTGGAAAACATTACTCCTGTTCAAGTATTTGGATTTCAAGTGTAAACATTTGTCCTCGAGTTTTTACTCTAAATAAAACTTATGCTTTGTAATAGGGAAGCCACATTAAAATATATAATGCTGAAAAAGGATGGAAACTTCAGAAGAATGTTCATGCCAAAAGCTTGCGGTGGACGATTACTGATACATCTCTTTCACCAGATAAGCGTTTCCTGGTGAGTTAAAAAAAAAAAAAGTGATTCGCCTAAAATGATTAACGTTAACAGATCCAGAAAATCCATCTGTTCTTGTTCATTAGTCTGTATTAGTTATTAAGATATACGTGCTGTTGTTGCTACTTGCAGGTTTATGCCACTATGTCTCCTATTGTCAACATAGTTAATATTGGATCTGCTGCAACAGTCTCATGCAAACATCACGGTATAAACTACATCTATCTTGTGACTAGTACTATGTGTGTTTTGCAGGCATGATCATAATAGTAAATGTAGTTCATGCTTTTATTTAATCAAGACTTTCATTCAAGTCTTCTTATGGTTAGAAAAAAAAACTTGTCCCACATAGCATATGGGGATATGCTAAAACTTGAATAAAGTTCAAAGGAGACTATCGAAAGGAGGGTTTGGATAGTTAATTACTCATTTTAATTAAAATTGTGATAAACTACAATTTATATTGTAATATAACCACCACCACCTGATTCATTTATTTTCCAGTGCAAAAACGTTGAAAGTTAATCTAATTATTATTACTACTACTATTAAGGGTTTATTAGTAAAAGGGTGGTTACCTGACAATGGTTAATTGGAAATTTGCAGGAGATCCATGAAGCTCTAGAATTTTCTGGTGATGATGAAGGGGGATATTCGTTTGGAATTTTTTCAGTGAAATTTTCTAATGATGGCAAAGAACTTGTAGCTGGAAGCAGTGATGATTCAATCTATGTTTATGATGTTGAAGCAAACAGACTTTCCCTTCGAATTCAAGCACATACGGTAATAGTAATACCCTTTTTTTAGCAAAATTTTGATTCTACAATCAGGTTGCTGTTTCAGAGTGCTTATGTTTTTTGACTCAAGTGCATGTGTCTATTCCTTTTAAACATGTAGCCAATACTCTTTGACCCATTTTCTTTTGTAATCTCTCTTTTATTTATTAAGTATTAAAACCTAAATACTTGCACATTCACATGGTATGAATTGCATGGATTATTAGAGTAACATATGTTGTTACATGATGCAGTCGGATGTAAACAGCGTGTGCTTTGCTGATGAAGCCAGCCATCTAATATATTATGGGAGTGACGATAATTTGTGTAAGGTAAATAAGAAACAGTTGTTTGTAGTTAGAAATCCTTTTTTTTTTTAGTAAATGGATGGGCAAATATATATATATATATATATATATATATATATATATATATATATATATATATATATATATATATATATATATATATATATATATTTTGGGACAGAAGATGCTTCAGATCAAAAGGAAAACCTGCTGGAATCCTGATGGGGCATCTGGAAGGAATTACGTTTCTTGACAGCCGTGGAGATGGTCGTTATTTCATTTCAAATGGAAAGGATCAGACTATCAAGCTTTGGGATATCAGAAAAATGTCCTCTAATGCCACACGGTATGCTAAATTAAATGTCCTTCCTTCCTTTATTTATTTATAAATTATAAATTATAATAATAATAAGAATGGGATAATAATAAAAGTATTTAAATTTGATATCAGGAGTCCAGGATTCAGGAACTATGAATGGGATTACAGATGGATGGACTACCCACTTCGGGCACGAGATGTGAAACATCCATCTGATCAATCTGTTTCCACATATAAAGGTCATTCCGTGTTGCGTACACTAATACACTGCTATTTTTCACCAGAATATAGGTAACAAATACTGTTGCTTTATCTTTCCTGTAAAGATCAAATATTTTTTATTATCTGCTACACTTTTCAATGTTTTATGTAAAATTTGCAGCACTGGCCAGAAGTATATATATACCGAATCACATGACTCCTGTGTTTATATATATGATTTGGTACGTATCACAATCTTTAAACTCCAATTTTTTTTTTTTTTTACTTACAAAAATATAAGTTAACAAGATGAATAAATAAATATAAACCAACAGGTGAGTGGAGCTCAAGTTGCGAGACTTGTGCACCATAAGTCAACTGTGCGAGACTGCAGTTGACATCCTCATTACCCAGTGCTTGTTAGTTCTTCATTTGATGGAGATATTGCAAAGTGAGATTTTCCTGCTCCTGGTAATGGAGACAACCTGCTTCCTGTTAACAATAGGCGACCCCGAAGACGACATTTTGATTGAAAATAAAATATAAGGATTTCATGGAAATGATTTGTTGTTCATTTGCTTTTTACACAAAAGGATTGTATATACAAGAATATAGATAATAAATCCTTTTTAGTTGAATATTTTGTATATGTAATATATTTTTATTCTAAATGTTGCTACTTTGCACATATGGCTCAGTCTTTTGTCTGTGGTGGGTTCTCCTACTTTGCACATATTTTCGACCGGTTTGATTCATTTGACCATTTTCAAGTTTAAAAAATAACTTATTATTATTATTATTATTATTTACTTATCTAACCATTTTCAACCTCGATAAATGTGTTAACCAACTAAACACATGCACACCATGAATTATATAGAACCTTTAACGCGTTAAATAAATGATATGACAAATCTACCATTTTTACTCCAACATTTTTAAACATTTATTCAGGAGATATAAATCGTACATTAAGCGCAGTTTAAATCAAATATACTTTGATTTTGGCACTCAATTTTTTTTTTTTTTTTTTTGAACCAGCAAATAAAATATATATATTAAAAAACCAACCTCTAGCAACTTATTAGAGGAGGAAGATGGGAATACGAAATGTAGGCAACCGTTTACAAACAGAAAAATTGGCAATTACACCATGCTAACCAATCAATGTTGTCTTTTTTACCCTTATTTTTTATCCACAGGTGAGTGATAGATTTGATAATGTCTACCTGCTTATCAGGGGACACCTGTTTATTTTTGAAGACTCTTTCATTTCTAGCTTTCCATATACTCCAAAGCATACCGTAACATATTCCCATGAACATTCTCCTTTTTTTTGAGCATCCGAAATGTGAATTTACAAGTGTGATCATGTCGTTTACTGTACCGAACTCTTCCATGGCAGCCCACACCATTGAAAGACCCCTTGCATAACCATTTTCGCATATTTGCGTCCAATCAAGGCATGGTCTGAACATTCATTGACATCCTCACATTGTTTGCATATTGGACTTTCCAAAGCTACCCCCTTTAGAAAAGAGACCTACAGCAGAAGGTATTTTGCCCAATTTTGCCCTCCATATGAAGCAATTAACTTTAATTGGAACTTCCTTCAGCCATGTGAAACGTCCAATGTTTACATTGGGGTTAAAATCCAATTTTTTCCGAAGAACATTCACCGAGTAAGTTCCGTCACCCGTGAGATGGCACTTCCATGTCGCACCCGTGGGGGCAAATTCTTTGGATATCACCGAATCAATGGGGATGTCTTTTATTGATTTTGGCACTCAATAGTTGACACATTTTACACAGTTTAGTTACAGATTTGGTCCCACACACACATTTTACACATTGGATCATAATATATCACATATCATTCTTGCTACTCTTAGGTGGGCAAGGGTACCGGACCTCTCATTCAGCTAAATTTTGTTAAAAAAATTCAAGGAGTCTTTCAACAGAGTTTTACAATAACTATTGACTATGAATATTTTAAAAGCAAAAGTTATTCTATGTATATAATTGTAGTAAGAGGCCCACTATCGCATACACATTGACAGAATGACATTTGGTGTAAACTGCAAAATCGTAGTGAGCCCCACAACATGCTTGGCTTGCATTGCAGGTTTAAAGCTGAAAAGGAGACCAAGGCTGATGTAACGAGAAGAATTATTAGCCTTAAAATTCCATACACGATACATGCCTATTCTTCTAGTTCCAGTGCCCTTTGCTCTGGTTCTTTTTTTATTTTATGGTTTTTAGTTGTAACCCTTTGCTCTGGTTCTTTTTTTATTTTATGGTTTTTAGTTGTTTATCAATCCTGATGGACAAAAAATACCAATAAATGTACTTTCAATTATTTATGGGTATATTTGGGGAAGAACTCAACATCTAAAATAAATGAAGAAAAGAAACTTACCACATATATGAATTTTTTTATAGACCACTCTTGTAACGTACACACATGACTCAAACTCACCAAAATCCATATCGCTACTCACACAAATGACGAAACAATAGATAGACGATTGACCTACGCAATTCTAATTTTAGCTTGAAAACGAACCATACAAATGAATAAAAAATTGATTGATTTGTTCGAGTTTTATTAAATGTCAAAGGACATTATAAAATAAAATAAAATAAAATTATCGCTACTCACACAAATGACAAAACAATAGATATACGATTGACCTACGCAATTCTAATTTTAGCTTGAAAACGAACCATACAAATGAATAAAAAATTGATTGATTTGTTCGAGTTTTATTAAATGTCAAAGGACATTATAAAATTAAAAAAATAAAAAAATAAAAAAATAAAAAAAATTAGGATGTGTTTTGAGTTTTCCACAAGTAGTAATAGTAAATTAAATAAATAAAAACTAAGCAATTAATTATACCATGAACACTATTGAAATACAGGTCTAAAAACTAAAATGTAAGAATAGAATCATACAAACAAGAAAAAGCCAACGAAACTAAAACCATGCCTATTGCCAACAGCTCCCAATAAACTCCCATATGATCCAAAAGGTGTAGATTCGATTTTATTACCTCATAATATTGACTTTTTTTATGGATCAAAAGATTTATTATAAGAAAGATTTTTGCGACATTTATAATGCTCAATTTAATTGGACAAAGCAAAAAAAAAAAAAAAAGGATTAAATGAAACAAATAACAATTTATTTTTGTTGATTTGTTTGTTTTGTAAATCTTCCTTTTATTTGTTTTTATTAGAATATTGCTTTGCGAAAGAACAATTTATGTAATCTAAATACAAAATAATTTGTATTGCTATGATTAATAAACATTTTCAAAATACAATGTTCTAAAAATAAAAATATTGTATCAGTAACTTTTACATTTAGTTTAAAAAAGTAACAAAAAATTTCTTCTATTTATTAATATATATTTTATAATTAATTACACAATCTTAAGAATGATGTGTTTTTTAAAAATGTTTATTTTCAGAACTTTTGAGTATTTATGTGCCATTTAATAATGGTATTTGAAGTTTGAACACATGAGTTTTCAGAACTTTCGAGTATTTATGTGCCTTTTAAGAATGGTATTTGAAGTTTGAACACATGAGTATCCATAATAGGATAGTTTTTTATTGCGTTTTTTTTTTTTTTCATAAAAGAAGTTTTAAATGGAAAAGCTTAAAATAAAAATAAAATAAAAACTTAATAGAAGAGCTTTTTCAAATTGATTTTTATGAATTGTTTAAATAAATTGTAAATTTTCAATTGTTTGAAAACACATGATACCCACACACAATTTTCAATTTTTCATAAGACCGTCTCAAATAAGAGGTTTTTAGAAAAATGAAAAATATTAATAATCAATTCAAACATTATATTTTATTAAATGTTTTTTTTGTTAATAATATCAATCATTAAATTCTACTAAATGTTTTTAAAATGTTTGAATACATGAGTATCCATAATAGGATAGTTTTTTATTGCGTTTTTTTTTTCATAAAAGAAGTTTTAAATGGAAAAGCTTAAAATAAAAATAAAATAAAAACTTAATAGAAGAGCTTTTTCAAATTGATTTTTATGACTTGTTTAAATAAATTGTAAATTTTCAATTGTTTGAAAACACATGATACCCACACACAATTTTCAATTTTTCATAAGACCGTCTCAAATAAGAGGTTTTTAGAAAAATGAAAAATATTAATAATCAATTCAAACATTATATTTTATTAAATGTTTTTTTTTGTTAAATTCTACTAAATGTTTTTAAAATGTTTCATTTTCATTGAACATCAAACTCAAATCAAAATGACATTTTCATTATACATTAACCACTATAGTATAAAATATTGATAAAACTATGTTTTTTTCGTGGTCAACTATGTACTTAATCACAGACCACAATCTACAATCAGCGGTGAAAACAAACACATAACCAAGAACGTTGAAAGTAACATAAATAACATTAGGTCCGAAATCCGAAACCATCAACAATCACTATAAAAAACTTGTATGTATTCATTTAAATACTACTAATATTTTTACACATCTATTTAACCAGTCTCGTATCCAAAATATGTAAATAACTTTAATGCGATCATGTATTGTCCCAAAGAAGACATAAATTGTAAATAAGTTATAAACGGAATCCATATTTCAAAAACCGACGTATATTTATATCTGGAAAATTTCGAAATATGGATTTTATTTGCAACTTATTTAAAATTTGTATTTTCAAGGCAAAATGATACAATATTATATTGCAAAACGATGAAATGACTTAAAAAATATATATTTTTGACTTGACATAAATGATAAACCTTTATAATTCCCATTTTAAAAAAAATCAATTAAATTGGATGTAAAAATAAATGAATAAAAAATACTTTTAGTTTAATAATATTTTATTTTATACGAGATTGATTAGAAGTAGAGTATAGGAGCAATTTCCAGTTTTACCCTTTCCATTCCATGCATTGTGATGTGGGTCGGGTCTTCTGCGTACCGGCTTCGATTGGGCACGGCGTCTGAACCGGCGGCACCATGCAGTTGTACTGTAAACAAACTGAACTGCTCAGTGGAATCGCCGCCATCGGATTGATCGGCACCCCCGTCAAAAAGTTATGCTGCAGGTACAACAACTGTACGTTTCCGGCCATTAACCGGTCCATCAAAGTCGTCGGAACAGAACCAGTGAACCGGTTGTTGTTGAGGTAAAGATTCTGAACTGTTGAGAACAGTGGAGACACTTGTCCGTACAACATGTTGTGGCTAAGATCAACAGTTGGGATTGCAACCTCATTGAATGGCTGGACCGGACCGGAAAAAAGGTTTCTCTCGAGTTGGAGGTTGGTTATCGGGAAACTGAAAACGCAACTGGGGATTTGACCGGTGAACCGGTTGAGGCTTAAATCTAGGAAGTTCAACCGGTTTAGTTGGGGTAATAAAAGGTCAACCGGACCGGAGAAACTGTTCCAGGAGAGAGAAAGGTATTCTAACGAAGAAGGGAGTGAACCGGGAGGTATCGAACCGGAGAGGTTGTTGTGTTTAAGGTCTAACCGGGTTAGAGTCTGAGAAACAAACGAAGGTATTGAACCGGACAGATGGTTGTGACAGAGAACTACGTTAGCTAATGCTGGTAAACTTCCGATGGCCCAAGGAACACTTCCGGTGAGCTGATTGTAACTGAGATCAAGTGTTCGTAGCCCTTGAAGTTCACCCAAAGTCGCCGGTATCTCACCGGAGATAAAGTTCCGACTAATGCCTAAAAACCGGAGTTTCTTCAACTCTGACAATGTTGCCGGCAGTTTACCCATGATACGACCGGGAACAACGGTAAATTCAGCGAGATTCGTCAACTTCCCGATAGCCGGATCAAGACGGCCGGAGAGACCAGGGGCACCGGCGCGCGGATCTCCAAGGTTTAAAGCAACAACTCTGTCACCGTCGCAGAAAACGCCGGCAAAGTTGCAAGGATCGGAGGTGAAATCCCATGAAGAAAAGAAATTAGAACCAGGCATGTCTTCAAGTGATTTTCTAATCGATTGTAAGGCTAAAAAATCAACAGGTTCCAAAATTGCAAAAGAAAATCGAATTTCATGAACAATAATCAACAAGTTTATCATAACCAACACCAACATTGTGTTCTTCATGATAAAAAATAAATGAATGCAAAAAATCACCTAGAAAGAGACTATAATCAACAGACAACAGCACAGGCCCAGATAAAAACAACAAAGGTTGAAATCAAGAACACAAACTCAAATTCAGAAAAGAAAAACCACACACACCAAAAACAAACACAGAAAAAAACAACAAAGGTCTAAATTAAGAACACAAACCCAAAAAATAGAATGGATTAGGAACACAATATTCAGAATCACAAAACTGGGTATAAGAAAGAATATACAATCGATTAGATCAAACCAGCAAAATTAGAAGAGGAAGAGGGAAGATGATACTCGAAGTGTACTGGTTTGAGAAAATGGAAGAGAGCTTAATGGCGATTTCTATAGATGATGGTAGTGAAAGAAGTGATGATACCTGAAAAGCTGGTCTATGTGTGTATGTGTGTTTGCTCTACGGTGGAAATCATTAATTAATTTATTAATTAAAAATAATTTTTAATTTGTATTTGGGTAGGCTTGGGAAACTACCAACGGTTGTCCGAGCCTACGTGGGAGGTTCGGATGTCAGGTCAGATGCCGTTTGTGTTTTTTTTTTTTTTTTTTTTTTTTTTTTTGCCTCGTCATATTGGTTGAAGCTGTCACACACGTTGTAATCATCCGTATTCCATTGTATTTTCCCACTTGTTTTAGATTTTACTTTTTACTTTAACCAAAGATATATACATACACGTTAATCGTATATAAACAATTTTTTATAGATATATTCAGCAGATAAAAACTTATCCACCAAGAAAATATTACGTCTTTTTTTTTTTCGTAAAAAGTTCTAATCCTACTTCGGTCGTTTCTCTTTGGTAATAATTATTTAATAGTAAAGCATATCTACATATTTATTAATTTTAATTATTAAGAGATATAATAAGGTGCTGTTTGGTAAGATCTGAATTTTTAAGATCTAAATTTCTAAGAGGATCTGAATTTTTAAGATCTGAATTTTAAAAATGTTGTTTGTTTAGAACCTCTGAATTTTTGTGCTTCATTATAAAAATGACCATTTTACCCTTCTGTATTATTTTTTGCAAAATTATAAAAACACCATACAAAATCCAACTTAAACATAAATCAAAATTAACAATCAAACCTAAATATTTGAGAAATCTATCCAATTATAACAATCAAAATTGTTTTGTTTTAAATTGTATGCTAATATTATCACATTACATAAATTGATGTTAACATATCTACATACAAATGCACAAATCCAAATGAACTTAAAAACTGCAACAATACATCAAAGAAATCAGAGTGAAAATTGCATCCATTATCACCCTCATCTTGATAGCATCTTGGTCATTATCAATCACCTATATCAACAAAACAAAGAATACATCAGATTTTATCATCCACATTGAACATTTTAAGATAGAATATTAACAGATCTACATACAAACAATTGTTATCATCCAAGGTTTCTTTCCACATTGAACATTTTAAGATAGAATATTAACAGATCTACATACAAACAATTGTTATCATCCAAGGTTTCTTTTCTGCAAAAAGATTCAAGACAGAGAAATTTAAATAAATCATAAGCTGAAACAATTTCATTTAGGCATTTCATCGAATGGTTTATATACACACCTAAATTTCATCGAATGGTTTATATACACATAAAATAAACATGGGAAAGAAGCTATAGCTGATAAATCAAACAAAATCAAACCAAAATCAGCAACATTTCATCAAAATCAATCAAAAATCAGCAACATTTCATCAAAATCAATCAAAAATCAGCAACATTTCATCAAAATCAAACCAAAATCAACAATATCTCATCATAATCAAACCATATTTCAAACCAAATAAATAATTTCAGCAACATTACCATAAATTCAACAATTTTAGAGCCGACTACAAGCATTTCAACAAGTTTTACAATTGATTTCAAGGCCATTTCACTGGTTTCAGCATGAAAATCAAAAGAAAACATGAGATTATAAAGAAGAATACCGATTTTAAGAAGATTAGGTGTGTTGCGGCTGTGCCAAGTGCTTTATGACGGGGATGCTCAACGGAGGAGGTGTGCGGCGACCTGAGGGATGCCGAAGTCGATCCTTTGACGTCTGAGATGCAGGGGTGGAGCACAGCTAGAGCCGATGACGGCGGCGATTGCAGGGAGGAACGGAGAGGACACCTGCGACGGAGATGGCACGGAGGAACGGAGCTTCAACGGATGGCGATGGAGGATTTGGCAGTGTGCATCGATGAGAAAGAAAAAGGTGGAGGCGTGGTAGAGAGAAGAAAAGAAAGACGTGAACTAGGGCAGTTTTGTAAAAAAAAAATTCAGACGAGGATATAAGTCTGAAAAATTAAGAGCCTTTTATCTTATTCAGATGTATTTTTTAAGAGGTTACCAAACGAGCTACATCTGAATGTTTAAGAAGTTACCTCTTAATTTTTCAATTAAGAGGTAAACAAACGGGACCTAAGTCAAACATTTTTATTATCCATCTATTATAATAAATGTCAGTAACTTTTAATCAATGTTAAGACAAATAACAACTTGACAAGTTATACACATATGTATATACAAGTTAGTACCATCGTTAATTATTGCATTTAGTTTTAGTCTTAAAATATTATAATTGTATAATTGGTTCTAGTTTTTTCATACACACAATAAAGTTAAGAGAAATGGTAAATTATATTATTTGTCCCTCGTGCACAAGTCAGAAATTGTATTTAGTCTATATTTTCAAAATTAACTCGGGCAGTCCTTGGTTGTTATTTTTCTTGCACGGTTAGTTCCTATAGACGTTAACCATTAAATTCTCCGTTTAAGCTCCCCACGTGCCTTGCACGCAGGGGCATTTTCGTCTTTTCAGGGTTTGTATACATGAACCATTTTGGCGTGACTTCCAAAAACGATCATTTTTCATTTCATCCTCCAACCTTTTGCATTGCACAAGAAAACCCTAGTTTTTTACGATGGTAATTGGAGGATTAGGCAAGAATGGGAGGAATATGACCTCCAAAGCTTATAGAGTAAAATGTTATACATACTCAATTGATAATCCATTATACGATCCTAAAAGGTGTATATATATATATATATATATATATATATATATATATATATATATATATTATATATATATATATATATATATTATATATATATATATATATATATATGGTTTTGCAGCTAACAATCCATCTATGTTCTCGATACGATTCCGCTATGGTGGAGTTTTTACGAAGTTTCCAGGACGCAAATACATCAAAGGGAAGATGAAATATATTGATGACATTGATAGTGACTTGTTCTCGGTGCATGATATGGATGAGATGATGGAATTGCTTGATTGCGTGGAACCAGGTAAAAGTATTTACTACCATTTCAAATGACCAACATGGGATTTAGATTTTGGGTTGTATGCTTTGGGTTGTGACGAAGATATAAACCACTTTAGGTCATACGTTTATGAACACAAGGTGATAGAAGTGTACACAGAGTTTTGGGAAACCAAGTTGCATGCGTATCAAATGTCCCAAACCCTGCAAAGATAGAGATACACGAAATTCTTGAGTCCCTTTGTCGTAAAAGGTTGTTTTTGACATGGTCAAATTCAGGGGATGGTCCTAGTGAAGAAGCCCTTGTTTTTTAGAATGTAGAAACTATGGACCAACCCACTAATACATTACCTGAAACAACCTTGGAACAACCCCCTGCTACGTTGATTGAAACAGTTGAGTCAACCCTTGCCTATATGCCAAGAATTGAAAGCCCTTTTACTTAACCAATGATGGGAAGCACATGTCATGATGTTGATGTTTGGGATGATACATTTTGTGACATCCCCATTTTCACGGCCAGAAAAGACCGATTTGTTTATGCTTGTTTTTAAAATCAGAGTACTCTTTTAAAGAAAACAGTTGCGGAATTTGTTCCCAAAACAAGATATGATAATAACTTATCAAAACATTTCTCAAAGAGAATGTATTTTCATTTAATATAAAACCTCGGGATGTCATGTTCCGATACAGACATATAAGCATAAACAGAACTTACATTTAATTACACAATTGATTTATATCTCCTTTAAATCTCTCTGTGAAATATGTCTTCGTATTAATACCTGTGATACAAAGAAAACTGAGTGGGTCAGGCTAATTTTGATTTTATTTTTAATATATTATAAATATATTACTTTTAGTAGGCCGGGACAGGAAAACTCCGTTCGAAATTCATAACTCCTTCATCTGAACTCCGTTTTTGTCTGTCTTTTTATCGTTGGAGTAATATTAATGAGATCTTCAATTCTAATTGAGAAAGTTTTGGCTAAATATCACTTGACTTCAATCTCGAGTTTCGGGCTGCATACTGCTAATGCTGAAACTTCGAAAAATCATAACTTCCTCATACGAAGTCAGATTTAGACGTTCTTTTTATGCACGCTCTCGGTTTGACGTATTCTACGACTTTCATTTAGATTGCTAAGGCTAAATATCGGTCTAACGTAAATTCACTTTTTACGTCGCGCTGTGTCGTGTCGGTTCTGTCGCGAAACTTCGACAGGTCATAACTTCTTCGTTATAACTCGGATTTCGGCGTTCTTTATATGCACGGAAACCTTGTAACATATACTATAACTTAATTAAGATTATTCCTTCAAAATAATCTTCCATCAAAAAGTCATTTTTGACGCTTAACGTCTCTAATTGACTAGCCCGGATGAAGGTGAAGCTAGTAAAAAAAGGAAGAAGATAAGAGATTTACAAAGTGCACACAAGAATGAAGCAACTGCTTTCAAAGATCCATTTTACATCCACCAGACTTTTAGCACAACCAAAGAAGTTAAACAACAAATTTATCTTCATTCCATACATAGTAGAAGGGAGGTAGACTTCGTCAAGAATGATAAAAACATGATTTGAGTGGTTTGTAAAGGGACAATACCAAACCTTGGGATATTAGAAACAGGTGGGACCAGCAAAAGTAATGACAAAGTGGGACCTAGTCAAAAGAAAAAGAAAGTCAAAGATGGTTCTATTCATAAATGCCATGGGTCCTACTAGTGAGTAAGTGGAAAAAAGACACTAACTGGACTGTTAAGACATATGAAAGGCAACATACATGTCTTTAAACAAGGAAAATTAGGGCATGTAACTACAAGTTTCTCTCTGAACAGATTATTGACACAATGGAGTCAAACCCAGAAATACCACTTTATACATTACGTGAGATGCTTGAGAAGAAATACTAAGTTAGGTTGTCTGACATGAATGTTCATAGGGCAAAAACAAAAGCCCTAGAATCAATTAGGGGAGATTTTGTTGCTCAGTACTCGTGTCTAGGAGACTACTTACAGGAGGTGCATACTAGAAATCTAAACACCACAGTGAAACTCCAAGTGCAAAGTAAACCATGTTATCCATCTGAGAGCAGTGTATTTGAATGGGTATACATTTGTCTTGGTCCACTGAAAAGTGGATTTGTAGCAGGGAAAAGAGATTTACTAGGGCTTGATGGTGCATTCATGAAGGGTCCATACCATGGTATGATCCTGATAACAACGCTATGTGCATAATCATATTTTTGTAGTTTATTAATGTTTGACAATAGTTAATTGTATGCTTATTACTTTGTTTGACATAATAATTCAGGGTTTAAATGGGAACAATTGCACATACCCTTTGGCATATGCAGCTCTTTTTAATGGCGTGGACTCTCGATCACTTATGTGTCGTGTCTAACATGTGTACGCGCCGCATGAAATATCACCACTTTAAATATAACAATACATTGTCTTACATGTCGCATATCCCTTTGCCTACGCATCGAGTTCACAAAGTACATTACCCTTTTCAATACTTAGAGTATTTTCAACAATTCACCAACTCCGTTCTCGTTAGAAATACATGGCATAGTATTTCACTTGTCTTATCATGTAACATCCCAAATTTGGAACAAAAAGTAAAGGGTGCTAAGTGTAAATAAAGGAAGGGACTCGACGAGTAGGCATGCTTACTCGCCGAGTTGGAGCGGGATTTGTCGCGGGTTTAAGTGGCCAACTCGCCGAGTTGACGGCTTGTACTTGACGAGTTGGTGCTGAAGGGAGAAAACCCTAATCCCGGGGGGTTGTGCCCTATATAAAGCACATTATAACCCACCCTCATCCTCTTTGCTACCCTTTTTAGATCCAGAAGCCCTAATTTTGTTTGTGAGAAGACTTAGAAGCAAATTGGTGTTATTTGTGAAGGGATCTTGAAGATCAAGAAGCTTGGATCAAGGAGACTTGAAGAGATCCGGATTATACTTCAGTGGGAGGTCATTTTGGAGGTAAGGAATCGTTATCCTTGGCCTTTTCCTTTCTAGTTCTATTTTCATGGAGTTTTAGGGTTTGGTTGGAGAAATATTGATGAGATCTTGAAGCATGAGTTAGATCTGGAGTTGAAACTCCATATCTGAGTTCTATATGGATCATTGATGCAGAAAGCCTTTCTAGTTGTTATGCAAAAGCCTTTCCCCAAGAGTTAAGTCCCTTTCTAGTAGGGATGAGCAGTTTTTCCCAAATCCCGATCCCATACCGGAACCGGTACCGAACCGTACCGAATTTAAAAATATGGGACGGTACTTGGTACTCAAAATACATGAAATTTAGGAATCGGTACCGCCGGTACCGGTACCATTCCCGATACCGATACCGGTGATGTTAATTCGTTTCGGTACTCGGGATTGATTTTTGACCAAATTCGGTTTTCGGGAAATCGGGAACGGTACGGGTCGGTACCGGTTCCGTCTCACGCTCATCCCTACTTTCTAGCTTGGTTTTTGGCATTATGGGGCAAGAAGCACGTAAAGGTAGCAACTTTATGTTGCTAATGGACCTTAGAGACGCAGATCTATTGTTTGGAGCAAAGGAGTAGCTCTGTGACTCGAGATTATGGGAATGCACGTATGGACTCGACGAGTTTGGGAGATGACTCGCGAGTCGAGCTAGAAATCAGACATTGAGTCGCGTAGTAACTCGGCGAGTCGCATGGGTGACTCGACGAGTCTTATGATGATGAGCTTGGACTCAACGAGTTGGAAGAACAACTCGGCGAGTCTATTGAAGATTGTCGTGAACTCGGCGAGTCTATTCTTGGACTCAGCGAGTCTGTTCGCAGAACCTAACCTCTTTCAGTTAAAGCCTTAGATTAATGATTCGGTTGGGGACTCAGTGAGTTGGCCAGGATGGAACTAAGAGATCGTTGGAGTCGACGAGTCTTGGGGCGACTTGTCGAGTTAAGTCGTGCTATGAGAGTTTTCTAAATATGAGAACTCGGCGAGTCGATGGGTTGACTCGGTGAGTAGAGTCAATCAGGAAGGTTGAATTTGATTGAGGACTTTGAATTTGACCTTCAGGGGTATTATGGTAAATTGGATATTTATGTCAACGGTTATTGATGGATATAGGTGTTAGAGTTTGAGGCGGTGCTTCGGGATTATGCTCTTGTGATTCGGTTCGGCAGTTGCAAGGTGAGTTATCCTCACTATATCGACAGGGTCTACGACACCAAGGTCGGCCCTTTATCGGATGGAAATCCGGGTATTGTTTGTTATGTTATTGCTTTGCTAGATCTGTATCCTGGTATTTAGGATGGTGTTATGTTAGTGACTTGGTTAAGGTCGGTACCCGGTATATAGGGTAATGTTATGCTAGTGGCCGGTTAGGTCGGAATCCTGGTTAGGATGTTGATATGCTATGTGATCTGATAGATTGTTGTCTGGTTAAGGATTTGTTATGTGATTAATTGTTTTATGTGCACATGGTTGTTTGACGGGGGTCGGGTTGAGGCGAGTCCTGCTTTATGTTGTAGGCCAATATACCCAGGGCGGACCAGATATTCCGAAGGCCCAGTGAGCAGTCCGGATAGGCTGAAGGCCCCATGAGGGCGGACCAGATGTGCCGAGGCTCGAAGAGTGGACCATGCTGACTGAAGGCCCGGTGCGGGCGGACCAGTCATACTGTAACTTAGAGAGTGGACCAGGTTGATTAAAGGCCCGGTGCGGGCGGACCAATCACACTGTAGACTCAATATACATGGCTAGACTCGGAGGGTGGACCAGTCCCATAGTAAACCCGGTGTGCATGGTTGTTCTATTTGTGCTATGTTATGAGTATGTTTATGTGTGGTTGGTATTTTGGGGGTAACTCACTAAGCTTTCAGACTTACAGTTTAATGTTTTGTTTCAGGTACTTCAGGAGATCGTGGCAAGACAAATGCGTGATCGTACTGCTCCTCATGTTTTATGATTTATGTGATATGGTTCTGGGGAATACTCTGATGTTTAAACTATTTTGAAACGAATGTATCAACTTAATGATTTTTGAATGAATTAAAATGTTTTAATTTTGCTCGAATTTTATGGTCGTTACATATCAATAAGTTATATTTCTCATAAATTACACATATGGTCCTTATGGTTTGGGCAATTTGTATGTTTGGTCACTAACTTTTTTTCTCATTTATACGTTTTCCTAAACTTTATTTTGTTGCGCATTTCGTCTCTACTAGACGTGAAATAAACATTATACCCTTATCTTTTTTATATTCATTTATTTTTAAATAGTTTTTTAGTCATTATGTAAAGAGTTAATACTTACACTTCATCGGTCTCATCCCCACCCATCCTACTCCCTACACCCAGTCACCTTACAGAAGATTAAAACCGCATAGGATGTTTTAATAGCACAATATTGGAGGCTTTGGACCTTACTTTCAGTCGCCACAGTTCTTGTGTGTTTACGGAAATTAAAACCATATCTTGGATGATTTTGAGAATGTATAACACAACATCTAGGATGTTTTAACAACACCATATCGGAGGCTATGGACCGAAAAAATGAAACAACATCATGGATATTAACACAATATTGGAGGCTTCCATATTGAACACGAATTTATGCAAAAACTTACCAAAATTGATTTCGGATATCATAACATATAGGAATCAAACACATCTAGAAGATATGAGATTTACAACATAGAATCTCGTGACTCCAAATCTGTTGTAGAACTTCGAGATTTGGGTGTAGAACCTAGGATATCAAAATAGATAGAAAACCTGCAAATCGATTTAGAACGTTGGTATACAACTCTATAACGACATCAGTCTCCAGTGAAAAAGAGAGGAACTAAGGGGAGGTTGTCGGAGGTGAAAGAGTACGGTGAGATGATTAGTAAGGCCGGTGGTGGTTGTGACGGGCCTCCAGAGAGACTGGGGCGTAGTGTCATCGACAGGATGACTTCTAGAAGAAAAATGAGAACTTTTGTTCTTGACTTCATCTAATTTACTCTAGATGATAATAGTATAACAAATTGTTAAAAATACATAATTAATGGTAAAATAATATGTTTACACCTGTAACGGAAAAAAAAATGGTGTTTGTGATAGGGACTTGATTAAGAAGAAACTTAAAGCACAAGGACTAGGCGGCAATTTTTTCAGAGACTCAATCTGTAATTATCAAATAAGCACAGCGACCAGTTCTATAATATAATAATAATAAATTGACAAATATAAATTATGGGCAAAGTGAAAAAGATAAATCCACAATCAAACCAGTCTAAATAAACCGAACCTGTAATTTTATAAGTCAATGGACGGAACCCACAAAAACCAGCAAACCACAGTAATTTTCTGATATAAAAATGATATACGCGTATGTTTATAGACTCTTTAAAACTTTTTTTGGAAGCTCTTTAATGCATGCATTGATTGAAGAGAAGCCTGTCCATTTGAAAATATTTAATGATGCCTTTTGCTCCCATTAAATATATTAAATGGCACGTTTACCCTTTTCTGGACTGATTACCTTTTTGATATTTCCTTTTGAAGATTAGGTTAGTCAATTAAGCCATCGGTCGTCACTCGGTCCTAACACACCGATAAACACATGACTAACATATGTAGCTACATCCCATTTCAATAAATGAAACATGTAAAAACTCGAATAAACTAGAAACATCTTTAAAAACTATGTTCAAAAAAACAAAATAACCCCAATACTACACATGGGTTGAAATTTTGATAAGAATCCAAGTCAAACACAAACTTGATTAGTTACATATTTGGAGCTATATGAGATTTGAGCTCAAATCACTTGATCATAACCATCATGCCATAAAAGACAAACATGTTGCAACTATGTAAAAAAAAAAAAAGAAGAATATTCTTAATTTGAATTTATTTTGTTTTTCTGTTTGAATAAAAAATATACATGTTTATTTTTATACATTTTGTAGAGAATTTTCACACTGATCACGTCCAGCAAACAAACTAAGGAGAGAAAGTTGAGTTGATGGAGCGAAGGAAATCAAAGTCGTTCCCCTATGACCCAAATCCCAATACAAGACCCACAATTAAAAAAAAAAAAAAAAAAAAAAAAAAAAACATAAAATTTGTCATTTATTCACAAATATACATGACAACAGAGAAAGATATAGAGCGAGAGATCACCCCCACCCCCACCCTAACCCTGCCATCAAAGAATTCGGATGCATCTTGCAACTAGTGTATCAACCTGCTGTTCCATTTGAGATACAAAAGGTCAACTTACTTAGTCAAAAGTCAAACATACTAAACATTTCCAGTTTAAAAAATCAATAATAAAAAAGCGGCAAATTTGACAGGGCAGGTGGCGAGTGAATACTTTTTTGTTCATTTGCTTTGAAGTTTATGAATAACTAATGTGATTACAAAAACTAAATGATGACAATAATAACTTGATTTTTTTTTAATAATAAAGTGATTAGAGAGGTTGCATTGCAACTATTTGAATACACCATATACATTGGATGAGATAAAGTATATACCCAAGGCAAATATGGATACATTTTTGGCAATTGGATGAAATTGCCACCTCTAATCGATACAAGAAGAAATGATAAATGATAGGACACTCTACTTCGAATTTGGAAATATATGTGGCAAAATGGGTGGTTCATACATCAGATTAAATCAAAACAGGTAGATTTTCACAATTTTTGTTTTTAACTTTACCCATCTACCGTTTCAGTAAAATATAAAACCCCAATTGGCCCGGAAATGGAAAGTAATAGGTATGAATGGAAAAGCCAAAAGGTGTAGTTAATTACCTTCTTCAGAAAGGTCAAACATGCCACCAAGAAGTTCATCCTCCTCCCCTTCATTCTCTGAGGTGTCCCTCCCATCACCATCAGCTTGACCATAACCGATTATGGGTCCGGTTAGCTTATTGCAACCAACGGATTCAACCACCTTACAGTAACCCTCCTGAAAATCTACCACTTCTTTCTGAACCGGAGACACACTGTCACTACCCACTTCCTTGATATCAAAATGGTTGGATGTTAAGAACGGTCGATTGCCATTGTTCACTGGATCAAGATCAAGCAAATTCTCAATCCTTCGGGATGATCCTGAAAAAAAACAAAAATAAGAAGTTCCAAAATATTACATTAGATTGGTCGATTTAGATTATATTTTATGTTATGACAAGTTCAAGTTCTTCTATACCTCCATCCGAGCTTTCAGTAGAGCTAACCGATGCTGGCTTTGAAAGACAGATGACAGATTCATCACCGGCCTTCTCTCTATCTTCACCAGATTCCAAAGAGGGGTTTTTTTGGGCAGAATAGACTCTGTGGAACAAATCAATACAGTTCAAGAAATTTATTTGACTATTATTAATTCACGTGTGTTCAAATAAATGAACATCAATCATCACCTGTCATCCCAGCCTGATTTGATGGTATTGAAATGCTCCAAAACTGGTAACAAATCCTTTCTTCTTATGTCAACTTCATAACACGGAATGTTCTCAATCTGAGCCTCTCCACCTCCAAATCCCTCTACATCCACACATCTCATCGCATAAAAATGCACCTGGACAAAAATTCAACAAATCAGTCGTAAATAGAGCAGCATCAAGCTAAAGGTATGCTAAGATTATATATTTAGATGTAGCAATTTCTACCCATATACAGGTAAATGGGTCAACTTGGGTTATTATATTCTATCACTAATGGGTCACAATAAAAAAGTCACTAGAAAGAAAAAGGGTCAAAATGGGTAGAACATGCCAAATGGGTCAAAAATTTGCCTAAAACATATGCACATGCATTTAAAAAAGGGAAATGCCACAAAATCCCTTATTCTTTGCTCCTTTTCCCGGAAAATCCATTATCGAAAATTAAATTCCATGAAAGCTATTCCAGATTTTATATAATGAATTTTCCAGAAGGTTAACAAATCTCAAATGGATTTCATGGATAACTTTATGGAAAATTAACAAGTCTTTGATGGGTTTTATAGAAAGTCAAGCCTTAGGTGGTTTTTATTGAAGATTTTATGGAAAGCCAACAAATCTAAGATGACTTTCATGGAACTTTTAGAGGGTGAGAGAATTCTAAGATGACTTTTATGAAAAGTTATGACATCTAAATTCTCAAACGGCTTTCAAGGAAAATGACTTTTCCAGAACGAGGAACAAAATATAGATTAACTACTTTTATAATAAATGTTATTTAAAAAATAAATAAATAAATAAAGAACATTTTGACCCGTTTTTCGGATAAGACCTATTTTTTTATTTTTTATTTTCAATTTAAACCAAAAGTTTACAGGTTTCCATTCGGTAAAAAAGGTCTTTTCCAAAAAAGTGATCAAATTGCTTTGTCGCTTATGCAAATAAGATTTTATGCTTATTTGCATAACAAACACAATATTTTGAGCACTTCTTCAGAAAAGACCTAATTTTTTTTAACCGGTTAAGAAGTCATAAAAGAAAAGGTTAGGTCAGACTTTTGGTTTCAACTGTAAAAGAAAAATAACTTTAGGTCTTATCTGGAAAAAGAGTCACCATGTTAGGTTTTTCTTAGAAATAACCCTATGATAAATATAGTTCTTGTAATAACATTTATCATTTCAATTATCTATAAAACTAAATACATGGACAAAAAGCATTTGCCAACCCGTTTTAGCTCAAACTAAAAGTTTACCCATTTTGGCTTGAACCTGCTTTGACCTGTTACCCGACCCACCCATTTTTCCACATGTACCAAGAGTTTAAGATGTATACCTTGGTATTTTGCCATACTGGTAATCTCCCAGAGTTTATTTGGACCTCAGCATTTGACAGAAACCAATGTGCTCTATCATTTCGCTTCACTGCATCACTTTTCCCCAGATTTTGACCACCCATACTGACATTACCTCTGGAGTTGTAAATTGACGTTTTAGACCCTTGGCCAGTAACCGAAATGCATTCCTCCCTTTCTGGAGAATCCAACCTCCTACAAACTTGCCACCATTGACGAGATTCAAATATCACTCCTGACTCCTCATCTTGGCCTAATTGATACTGAGTTCTTGAACCAACATCAATCTGGGTCCCCATTGATGGCAGAAGCTCATATTGAATTGCATATCCAGATGGAGTATAAACCAGCAGAGATTCCAAGGAATTACTGTTTTTTGAAACATCATGATTACGGTAAGCCATAGAGTTGTGGAAAACAGAAGCAACAGCACCAGAGGGCATTTGTGTCTTTCCGACCACAGAAGAAGCAGCATTGGTGACGGAATTGAGAAATCCAGAACTATTATTCTTGATCCTACCAACTACGGAAAGGGTAAGAGGAGGTGGAGGTGGTAAAGGTTGCTCATCTATGACGAACGACGGGGTTGACCACCATGGAAGAGATCGAACGGGATTGACTGATCGACTCTGGAATCCATGATTCCGATAGCTAGTGTCACCACCAAAGGGTGATAGAGCGAAAACATGACAAGTACCCTTGGATGAAACAATGGAAATCCATTGACAGTAGCGACTAAAGCTGATGTCTTGGATAACCTGTCAAACAAATAAAATGAAGCATCAAGTCAGCAAATGAGTGCCACCAAGGGCATGTCTTTACTAAAAAAATTATATTAGAGGTGGCAAAACACGTTTTTTTTTTTTTTTTAAATTAATGTGAGGTTGGGTTGACAAGTAAATGCTTTTTTGTCCAATTTTATAAATATTGTTAGACATGATTACAATAGCTAAATTATTATAACAAAAACTTAAGGGGGGTTATTGTAATCTGTTACGTGTTTGGTTGGCGGGAAATGGAATGGAATTCAATAGCAATAGCAAGAGCCGAATAAACTTTAACTTCATTAATAATTAATTTTTACTTTTTTATTTCAATACATATAATGAGGGTCTTTTGGTCTATTAATAGAAAAGAGAGAATAGAATTGAATTCCTTCCACCCAACCCTAGGAACCCATCAAATATGGAATTGACAGAATTAAATTCCGTCCAGTTGGCAACCAAACACACCATAGAATGGAATCTCAAATTCCAATTCGATCAATTCCACCAGAATCCACAAACCAAATACGCCCCGGATTGTAAAAAGAGATTGATGAGGTTGTATGCTTGTGGTTGCACTTCGGGTGACCCCATTCCCTTTTCACTTTATCCGTTTATAGGTAAATGAGTCGAAATTGCCACCTCTACATAAAGAAATAGAAAAAGAATTGTGTACTAACAGCTGATGTTATGCCACGATGCAGTTTGTAAAGAAGCACATGAGAGGAACTCCAGTCATGGGTTTGATTGCTAGAACCACCTCGAGTACAAGGCATGATTCGGAAGATATTTACATTATTGCCATGTATTGAGGCTGTAACTAGAAGGGTTCCACTTGGATCAAAGCATAATGCAGACAGTGGACTGGAATGAGCTCTAAACTGTGATATAACAGCTTCTGAAATAACATCCTTGACAATGACCTGCAGAAAATATATAATTAGTGAATCTCTCATCCACAAGGGAAAGATCAATTAAATCCTTGCTAAAAAAAAGCCACTAGAACTGACCATTCCCACATTATCTACTTCTGAAGAAGCATTCATAACTTTCCAGCCTGGATTTGATGTCATAGGAGAACCTGGACGATCTTGGAGCATCTCTGGATAGTATTTAGAGAAGGTTTTATAGCCTTTGTCACCGAGGGTGATAATTCCAGCAGCCAACTGTTTGCTTGATTCCATTGCATAACGAGCCACCAACGAACCATTGCTTGGTGAGGTGGATGGGCTAATACCAAGAGTAAGGTTCTTCGGGCTTAAGTGACCTGTGTTTGATACAAGCAGTTTGTTTGAAGCATAAGCTAACCAGCGTGGGCCCACAGCCAATGGACCATACCCAATGTTAACTCCAACTCCAACCATTCCTTGTCCTCCAAATTGAGGAACTGGATAGGTTGGAACAGTGAACTTATTCTCAAGTGTGACAGCATCTATACAGTGTATCTCCTTTTCAAGAGCCACAGCTACTATCAGAGGACTACATCTGACCATAAAAACAGTTGACCTGAACCTGAGAACCTTCACGTAACAGTTGGACTGAAGGGAATAAAACCGCACTGCAGTAGAACCCACAGAGGTTCCTGACTGATGATGAGACACAACTGAACCATCCCTGCCAGGTGGACTCAAATAGCTTCGATTTTGACCCATGGTGGGTGTGGGCCTGGTGGCTTCATCACCTGCAACCACTATTAGCAACGGATGTAATGGTAGGAACTTCTCATTGCCATCAGGGTTTGCAGGAATATGCAGCAACTGTAGGAAAGTGACAGGGCCATCACGCTTTGAAACAAGCTCAGTAAAATCAGATGCATCCTCCACATCAATCACTTGAAAACCAGTCTGATAACCAAGCAATAGAACATGTCTGAAGGAAGTGGAGCCAACTTCTAATCTGTCGAAGCCGGCCCATGTTACCTGATTACAATCAATTTTCTTTTTTTAAGATAGGGGTTCTTGAAGAATGTGGCAGTAGAAATATTTGAGAATAAAAAGGAGAACCAAAAATAATCAGCAGACAGGTAATTAACATATGATAATACCACCCATGATCAATAACTCCATTTATCTCTGTATCGTGCATTTATGAATTCTTATACCTACAAACATATATTATCCAAATTCCAAGACATACTAGATCATTTCTGGTGCCCTATTATGCAACAACGCATGAAATGAATTATAAGTTTTCATATCTGATCATGACTGCAAAGAGTTATAATTAACAAACATAATGATAATCATTTCATCTGACCCAGCATACTTACTTTAGTCATACAACCAAAGATACTCAACAGATACTTAGCGGACATAGAAGGAATCAAGGAATTTTTTCATATTGTCATACATCAGCTCCCATGGTGTGCATATTTCTATTTTGCCTTTGCATCATACATTCATGGATTAATATACTTATAAACAAATATTGTCCAGACTCTAATAGCCTTCCACTGCCCTATTATGCTTGAACAACATCACATGGACTTGTAAATTAACAAATTAGCTCATGATTGCACAGAGTTGGACTTAACAAACATGCCGATGCTAAGAGGTATTCCAGTTGATATCACCCAGCATGATTATTCTAATCGTACAACCAAAAATACTCAACAGACAATTAATTAACATAGATAGTAAAAAGTATATAACGTCGATCAGAAAAACAAACACCTGATCTCTCTGATCGTCTCCGGAAGCTGCAATCGAAGCCGCGACGGAAGCACCGGCGGAACGAACGACGGTGCTAGCATTAGTAGACACGGTCTTAATACAAGAAGATATAATCTTCAAAGAATTAGGCAACAATCCGGTATTCTTTCCTTTGCCTTTCTTCATCCCTCGCCTGAACCTCTCCCAACCACCACCGACTCAGCAGTGAAAAAAATTCCGTCACCGTCCTCCACCGCCACCACCGCCGTAGCTGACGCCTCTAGCCTATCAACTATGATCATCCGAGAGCGTAATCGAATTGATTTTTGTGTCGTGGAAGTAATCGCAAGTGTGTTCTTGGTTTAGGTTTGACTTGAAGATTTGATTGAAGATTTCCCAAAATTTTGTGTTCCTCAAAAGCCTCCTATTGTTGAGTTGATTTCTCCCAAGGTCAGATTACTTCCATTTTAAATCAGGTGAACGGGACACACAAATATTATTTGCTCGTAAAAAATATACAAAAGATTACGACATTTAAAATTGGGAATAGAATTTTTTTTTTTTTTCCTTATCTTTTTAGACCACGGTTACATCCGGATACAAAATTATAATGGTTATAAGGGAATATTTTCAAAAAGTTTAAAAAAATAGTTACTCAAATAACAAAACCAAAAGTAAGAATAAATTACACGAATAGTCCTTGTGGTTTGGAGGTATTTGTGTGTTTGGTCCATAATTTGTTTTTTTAATTCGGATAGGTCTTACTGTTTATTTTTATTGTGCTCAGTCTCTGTCTTACCTAAAAAGAATATTGTGCTCTTATTAATTTAATTTTTTAATTAATTTTCTTATTTATGTATTTTTCTATGTTTAAAAAAACTAATACAACCCACATATTTGTATCTCCTCACAATCTAATCTATCATTATCCTTAACTTCTATTTTTTTCCATCTTTAGTGACATCGACGTCTTCACTATCTATTTTTTTTTCGGTCCTTCAACTGCAACGAACCAACATCACAACCCACTAAAGTAAAGAGACAATAGGTTATGGTGTTTGTTCGCCAGAGTTGAATGACCAAAAAAATGATGGTGAAGACTACCATATCATTAAAGATGAAAAGAAAATAGAAGTTGAAGATGATGAAAGATTGGATGGTGACCGATGGGACCCATATTTAATTTCTCAAATGTGGTTTCAGGTTTACGATGAGGAGATACAGATATATGAGGTCTATTAATTTTTTAAAACATATAAAAACAAATACATAAATAAGAAAATTAATTAAAAAATAAATTAATAAGGGCACAATAGTTTTTTTAGGTAAGATAGAGACTAAGGGCACAACAAAACTAAAAAGTATGGACCATCCGAGTTAAAAAAAAAAAAAAAAAAAAAAAAAAAAAAAAAGTTAGGGACCAAACGCACAAATTCCCCCAAACCATAGGGACCATTCGTGTAATTTACTCTTATTTTTTGTTTTGTTCATATTTAGATAATGAACTTGTTGAAAGTGTTCACATATAACCATTACCTGTTGTAACTAGATGTAACCTGCTACATACAACAGGTCATAATGGTTATATGTGAACAGTTCAAAAAAATTATTACCTAGATGTATAAAAAAAATAATTATCTCTATGTGAACAAACCGAAAAATTAATTACCTTAATTAGTCATATTCCCTTTAAAATTATGAAGTTTATTTTTTCTAGAGCAAAATATATGTGCGACCACCTTTTCAGTAGAAGAGGTGATCAAACATTACAAACGTGTTTGTTTTTTTTAACATCTGCAGGTTACTAAAATAAACTAAAATTTAAATAAACTTATTATTTTAAACTTCAAAATGAATTTATAATACTTTTATAACTGTTATAAATAATAAACAAATATAAATCAAAGTTTATGTATTATTGTATAAATAGTGAAAATAAAATGGTACGGATTAATACATATATTTGATAAAAAAACAATAATTTCGGTCGTAAAATTATACCTAAACATTGTAATTAGAAATTAAAAAATTTGATTTATAAATGGAAGGAAATAAACTTCAGTTTTTTTTTCCAATTAAATCAATTAAAAACGTATTGTAAATAATTTCACAAGAAATTGACGATACCGTATTAAATAATGTTTTAAAATTTTTGGCACAAAAATATAAAAATATATGATGATTTTTTTATATTTATATAAACAACTTCAACAATCATTATTATAATAAATCTTTATTTTTAAATTTGTCAAAAATGACATGATTGTGTCGTCAAACCTTTTTCTTTTTAAGTATTGTAATTTTTTTTTCAAATTGTTTATCATGAATAAAATTGGAATAAATAAAAATAATATATATATATATATGTGTGTGTGTGTGTGTGTGTTTAGGCTAGAATATATCTGAAGATGTTAGAAGACTTTGGTCCACATCTGCGTCAAGAAGAGAGTGCGCGGGTATTTTTAGGTCTGCAGTCTTCAAAAAAACAAACAGTCTGCAAAGACTAATGTTTGCGTATAGTCTGCACATCGCATACAGAATATGCCAAAAAGACCTGCGGACAAAAAACAGACAACATTTTAATTTTTAACATTTGGGGTGTTTGAAACTGCTTACTTATATTTTTTCAATAAAAATATTTATTAGCTTATTGGATGTTAAAATTGATTTTTAAAAAGAAATTTGGTTTAATTTGTTCGGAAGCAAAACGTTAAAATTGATGTATTAATTTTAGTATTTGAAAAATGTTGTTTATATGTGTAACTAGGAGATGATTTATCAAAAACTCTTTAAATAAATCAGTAAGTAAAGAACTAGGAAAGAATCCCCGCTTTGCGGGGTTGATACGCTATAGAAGTGGTTAGATAACAGATTTAATCGGATTTGTTTTGATGGATGTGTCTACGTATGTACTTCTATGTTTGTCAATGTCATGATTTGTTCATTTGTACATAATAAGTTTGAGAATTTGATTGGAAACTCAAATCATTTGTACAAAAAGATCCAAATATTGTACATAATCGTTGTGTAAACTCAAACCCTAAATGGATAGATAAATCATCAAGCCATAACCATGTCTTATATACATAAATATTCATTGGTTCTCTACTAAAATCATCAATGGCTAGAATTAATTCACCAGGGGCAATGGAAGCCATACTCAGGGGCGAGCTGGAGACGCTGAAATAACTATAAGTACAAAAATAGCACCATCATTTCCAATTAGGTATCCAATTGAGAAGCCTACCCTTGTAAGAGTACCTTGTGTTCCTAACTGTCTTAATAAAACATATTTGTTTAGAAAGAAAAATAGATAAAAGTAAAATCTCATTGAAATATATTGAGTTTCATTTTCAATTTTTTTGTATCCTTAAACTTTTGAACATTTCACGCCACAACTGATTTTTTAAATACATATGAAATATGAACCAAGTTGGAGGGGGTAGATATGAAATCCAGACACCTTCTTATCAGAATCTGAACATAAAAAAAGCCAACGAAGCATTCAAAGGCTGAGAAACTTACCTGAGAAACGAAGTAACCTATATATGACAACATTTCTAATAGGTGCATATCCATTTTCCAAATGAGAGATTCAATCCCATAATCATTTCAACATCGATCTGAAAATATGAAACTTATATGATCATAACATGTATGACTGTTGAGTGGAACCTAATACTCTAATAGTCATAATATATAATCTTACATAAAATGCTTACTAACATATATGGAGCATGTTCTTGAGCTTTTTCTCAAAATGGATGAACTACCCATCCAGGCTTACCAAACTTTTATATAGTTGAACATAAAACAATAATTCTCTTAAAGTAGTGATTTGGGTACCATACACAAAATTACATGGTATGGAAATCACATAACACATGATGATGTTATACATATTGATACTGAGAAATCAAGGTAACTAACCTGCTAGTTTGGATTTTTTTTATTATTATTATTCCCTTTTGGAAGTTCATTATTTTAGTCTGAGGAAAAATAATCTAAAAAAAAAATTGTTAAGCACAACAGTGTGAAGCAGTTACATTTTGGGGTGAGCATTTGGACCGGACCGACTCTTGGACCGGACCAGTTATGGAGAATTTTGTGGACCATGGACCGGACCGGACCGGATGAGTCGTGTCCGTGTCCGGGTTTTTCGGTTTTTGGATCCGTTTGGACCGGTATAACTTTAATTTCATAGGGTATAAGTAATCTACATTGATGTATAATATTAAAACTTGCAAAATTAATACGTTTCCGTTTCATGCATAACTAATCTACATTAATGTATAATATTATAACTTGCAAAAATTAATTTTCCAAATAAAAGCAACTAACATATAAATCAAGTTCACCAACAAAAGTTATACAATTTTAAGACAAACATATAAAAGTATTACCGTAACAACAAAAATCATAGTTTAAACTTTAAAATCAATTAAACTAACAAACTTTATAAACTCATAATCTAATCTTCTACTCAAAAGCTGAATTTTTTCAGCTTTGATAACTCTATTTTGAAGGATTGTAACTCAGTGAATTTAATACAAAAATAAACAAAATTATAGTCTAAATTCATCTAAAAACTATAAACTAAATTTTGGAAAAAACCGGAGGTCATTCCGACTTAAAACGAATGAGTTATGGGTGTTTAAAAAATATCACATATTACAAAATTTTGCTGAAAAGCTGATTTTTTTCAGCTTTGATAGCTCTAATTTGAAGGATTGTAACTCAGTGAATATAATACCAAAATAAAAAAATTATAGTGTAAATTCATCTACAAACTATATACTAAATTTTGGAAAAAACCGGAGGTCAATCCGACTTAAAACGAATGAGTTATGAGTGTTTAAAAAACGTCACATATTACAAAATCTTGATGAAAAGCTAATTTTTTTCAGCTTTGATAGCTCTACTTTAAAGGATTGTAACTCAGTGAATATAATACTAAAATAAACAAAATGATAATTTAAATTCATCTACAAATTGTAACTAAATTTTGGAAAAAACCAGAGGTCAATCCGACTTAAAACGAATGAGTTATGGGTGTTTAAAAAACGTCACAGATTACAAAATCTTGCTGAAAAGCTGAATTTTTTCAGCTTTGATAGCTCTAATTTGAAGGATTGTAACTCAGTGAATATAATACCAAAATAAACAAAATTATAGTCTAAATTTATCTACAAACTTTAAACTACATGTTGGAAAAGACTAGAGGTCAATCCGGATTAAAACGAATGAGTTATGAATGTTTAAAAAACATCACAGATTACAAAATCTTGCTGAAAAGCTGAATTTTTTCAGCTTTGATAGCTCTACTTTGAAGGATTGTAACTCAGTGAATATAATATCATAATAAACAAAATTATAATCTAAATTCATCTACAAAATATAAACTAAATGTTGGAAAAAACTAGAGGTCAATCCGACTTAAAACGAATGAGTTATGGGTGTTTAAAAAACGTTACAAATTACATGTCCAACCGGTTCTAAACCCGATAAAAACCGGACCGAACCGGAAAAAAA